GGTGATGATGATGATGATGATGATGATGATGATGATGATGATGATGATGATGATGATGATGATGATGATGCAGGCCAAAACTTGAGACAGCAAAAATAGGACAAACAATGCAGTCAAGGTCGACATGAAAAAGAGGGCAACAGCGACGCGAAGAGCCTTGTCACGGGTAATAAAAGAAATTGTAAAAACTAATGACGGAAAGGTCAATGCCTCTAATTTATTTATTATTAAAGGTGACTTTGCCAAAAATGGTAGTTTACTGCAAGTACTTCCCTTACTCTGAGAGACAACTCCAGTTTTATTATACCCTTAAACCGTGTCTTACGCTGCATGTTAATGCCGTGTTATATCTGCCAGGATCTGTATTTAACACTCAAGTCCCCGTGAACGAAAATACGCATCGCCTAGCATCGTCTTTCTTCAGAGCAAATAGTGAAAAATACTTTCAAAGAAACATATATTCTGTATCTAATCCACAGTCTCCAATCATTCCCTGAACTGAAGTTAACAAATTCTTTGCTCGTGTGGTAGATATTAGACACAAACTCGTTAGAACTAAAACTAATTCCCAATCTAAGAGATTGGTACGCTTATGCACAGTAACAATATTTCTCAGATATGATCGTGACTTGCTCGAAACGAAAGTGTTAAAATAGGTAGTGTTTCATACCCTCTGCTTGTGGCAATGTAAAAGTGACAATTATATGGCTCAGGATGGCCGACTTTGCTGGTCAGTATTAATCTTGACCACGAGAAACATGCCATCTGTCTTTTCCCCTTGACCAGAATGAGTTGATGTTATGAGGGAAAGAAAATGATCGGTACATAATTGCTACTAGAATGAAGTACGCGACTAAAATCCTATTTAAGCTAAGCTTGGATTCTATCTTTCACAACTTCTCTCACCGAGATTGGCACTAGATTCAGACCACACATCACAATGATCAGGCTATTGCTTCTTGTCCTTGTGGGTACGTGTATTTTTCGTTATTGTTGTATTGGCAATGGTAGAGTTTATATTTCACTTTCGAAACTGCTAAATTTTATTTAACAAAAAAGACAACGGTAGAATTCAGAAAAAGTGGCAATAAAAGAAACAGTTAAAATAGAATTTTTAAAAAACAACAACACATTATAGACCAGGGAATCAAAGTACGTGTAAAGATAATGTTTGTCAAACTAATTAAATTGTTTAATTAAATATTATCATTCGAATAGCATTGGTTTCAATGTGTGATTACATGTAATACACGTACAAGTTAACATTAGCTTTCGTGAACTTTGGTTCCGTTAACTAGATATCGTGTCTTTATAAAGGTCATTGCAACATCTCTTCTTCCTCGTCATCCTATTCAAAACCTAATCCTCCTCCTCCTTCTCCTCCTCCTCCTCATTATCCTCATCAGTAGAAGTTGCATCATCAGCA